AAACTGACAGGAATGTTGGATGTTACCAAAGGTAGAGTTTTTAGAAATATCACTAGGAAACAGTTTGTTACTTACACTCAGAATAGTATTTTTTCTGTTGCAAGATTTACATTTAAAGATCCAATTTGTGTACTTTATTATGGAATTTATCAGAATGAGAATACTTTATTTATCCCACAGTAAGAATAGTAAATAAGTTAGCTAAAAAAAACCAAAACCTAACTTGTGTAAATTTCTCTGCTTTTTCAAAACAAACAAAAAATCTATATTTATTGGATCAGCTCTGGCTGAAGCTCACGATGACGTTCAGAGCTCAGAGAATAAACCTTTAAATAAAATCTTTTAATGGACAATCAAGCAACAATAAACTGAAAGAAAACAGCAGTCTGATAACGTCAAGTGAAAGCTCTGTTGATAATGACCCACACTCCTCAGATCAGTCAGAGCAACGATAAGAGGATGAACTGAGCTGCTGAGTCAAAGCCAGTGGATCATGCTAAGCTATGCTATTAGAAACTAAGGACAGAAATGGGGAGCTGGAAATGAGAAGAACAGGCTCCCTTTAAAAAGAAAGTGTCACACTTTAATGTCTTTTTTATATTTCTAACCATATTAACTTCCAGTAATGCCAACCCGGCATGTTCTCAACGACCACCTTTTAAAGGTTCAAACTATTCTGTGGTCCGAGCGAGCTTATTTTGAGTGAAACTCTCAAGCTTAACATTTTCTGGATGACAGTGGCACAAGGTCGTGTGTAATGAGTGTGTTAAACAATTATCTGCTGGATTATTATGCTCTTCACACCGCCTTCCTGCTCCACCTCTATCTCCTTGCTCCGCTGCCGCTCCTCCTTCATCCCTAATGTGCTGTAATAATGTTCATTAATGCGTCACGCCGTCTGACAGACAGCTCATATTGAAGCGAAGGAGGGAGGGCTGATGCTAAATGATGGGAAATAAAAATTCCACACAAAGAGAAGGAGGAGGGAGGATTTGGCAAATTGTTCACTTATTGGTGTATCAGCATACAGCCATGTAAAAGTGCTTTTTGTTCAAAATCAAAGCATCTGAATCCCCTTTTTCACCCAAAATGTCGCCATTGCACCCACCTGGCAGTGGATCCTCTCATCAAACCTCCCTCAGGCTTCAATGAAGTACGTACATGTCTGTCTTTCTCCATTATCATTTGCATATTTCAACAACTGTGTAAAAGGGTTTATGCCCAGTCACTCCCTTCATCTCCCCGGAGTCGATCCGAGGAGACGAGTCGCCTTGTATTCATAAAACACGGCCGCACGACAGTAAAAGACGTCGGGGACAATTCTCCGCGGCTCTGAGACATAATGAAGCTGTTTAGATGCTGCAGAGGAGTGTGCAGGACATCATCCAGCTCTCAGGCCTCAGGACATGATGGCCGTGCTGATGTGCAGCACACTCCATTTGGTAGCATACGGTGCACCTCACACCCATTTATCCAGACTGCTTCTAACAATGGCGAATGCTAAAGAGATGCGGGAGAAATTCAGTGTCACGACTTGAAGCTGACATGGCGTTTCAAAGTGAGGACCCACAGGATGTAAGAGGGGAGCAATGTTGCAGTTTGTTAACGTTTAGTCACCTCACTATAAAAATGGTGGGCACAAAACAAACATCTGGGGAACAGCTTTGTTGTCTCTGACTAGGGCTGTG